GCCGAAAAAATATCAAAAAATCAAAAATTTCAAAATTTCACAAAATGGCTTAGAATACCTATGGCCACCAACTTTGAGCGAAATTTAATTTTTTTTAGATGCCAAAAAAAATTAAAAAAAAATAAAAAAATCTAAAAATTAAAAACTTCACAGAATGTCTTAGAATACCTGTGGCCACCCAATTTGAGCGAAATTTAATTTTTTTTAGGTGCCAAAAAAAATTTAAAAAAGCAAAAAATAAAAAATTTCAAAACTTCATAGAATGGCTTAGAATACCTGTGGCCATCCACTTTGAGCGAAATTTAAATTTTTTTAGGTGCCGATAAAAATAAAAAAATAAAAAATTTCAAAACTTCATAGAATGGCTTAGAATACCTGTGGCCACCCATTTTGAGCGAAATTTAATTTTTTTTAGATGCAAAAAAAAAAATAAAAATAAGCAAAAAATAAAAAATTTTAAAACTTCACAGAATGGCTTAAAATATCTGTGGCCACCCACTTTGAGCGAAATTTTATTTTTTTTAGGTGCCTAAAAAAATAAAAAAAAGCAAAAATTTTAAAACTTCACAGAATGGCTTAGAATACCTGTGGCCATCCACTTTGAGTGAAATTTAAATTTTTTTAGGTGCCGAAAAAAATAAAAAAATAAAAAATTTCAAAACTTCACAGAATGGCTTAGAATACCTGTGGCCACCCACTTTGAGCGAAATTTAATTTTTTTAGATGCCAAAAAAAATAAAAATAAGCAAAAAAGAAAAAATTTTAAAACTTCACAGAATGGCTTAAAATACCTGTGGCCACCCACTTTGAGCGAAATTTTATTTTTTTTAGGTTCCTAAAAAAATAAAAAATAGCAAAATAGCAAAAATTTTAAAACTTCACAGAATGGCTTAGAATACCTATGGCCATCCACTTTGAGCGAAATTTAAATTTTTTTAGGTGCCGAAAAAAATAAAAAAATAAAAAATTTCAAAACTTCACAGAATGGCTTAGAATACCTGTGGCCACCCACTTTGAGCGAAATTTAATTTTTTAGATGCCAAAAATAATAAAAATAAGCAAAAAAGTAAAAATTTCAAAATTTCACAGAATGGCTTAAAATACCTGTGACCACCCACTTTGAGCAAAATTTTATTTTTTTAGGTGCCTAAAAAAATAAAAATAAAATAAAATAATAAAAAATTTTAAAACTTCACAGAATGGCTTAGAATACATGTGGCCATCCACTTTGAGCGAAATTTAATTTTTTTTAGGTGCCGAAAAAATAAAAAAATAAAAAATAAAAAACTTCACATAATTGCTTAAAATACCGGTGGCCACCCACTTTGAGTGAAATTTAATTTTTTTTAGGTGCCGAAAAAAAATAAAAATAAGCAAAAAAGCAAAAATTTCAAAACTTCACAGAATGACTTAGAATACCTGTGGCCACCAACTTTGAATGAAATTTTATTTTTTTAGGTGCCGAAAAAAAGAAAAAAAAGCAAAAAATCAAAAATTTCAAAACTTCACAGAATAGCTTAGAATACATGTGGCCATCCACTTTGAGTGAAATTCAATTTTCTTTAGGTGCCGAAAAAAAATTAAAAAATCAAAATACCATTTGGGCACCTAAAAAAAATTAAATTTCACTCAAAGTGGGTGGCTAGAGGCATTCTAAGTCATTCTGTGAAGTTTTAAAATTTTTGATTTTTTTATGTTTTTATTTTTTTCGGCACCTAAAAAAATTTAAATTTCACTCAAAGTGGGTGGCCACAGGTATTCTAAGTCATTCTGTGAAGTTTTGAATTTTTGATTTTTTGCTTTTTTTTCACCTCAAAAAATTAAAATTTCACTCAAAGTGGGTGGCTACAAGTATTCTAAGCTATTCTGTGAAGTTTTGAAATTTTTGAGTTTTTGAATTTTTTTTGGCACCTTAAAAAATTTAAATTTCACTCAAAGTGGGTGACCACATGTATTCTAAACTATTCCGTAAAGTTTTGAAATTTTTTATTTTTTGATTTTTTTGGGCACCTAAAAAAATTTAAATTTCACTAAAAGTGGGTGGCCACAGGTATTTTAAGCCATTCTATGAAGTTTTGAAATTTTTAATTTTTTGATTTTTTTTTTTGAAAAAATTCAACAAATTTCCTATTTTCCCAAAATCTGAATTTTTTATTTTTTTGAAACTGTGATGAATTTTTCTAGAATTTTTCAATTTTTTTTGAATTTTTTGAAATTTTTTTAGATTTTTAGGATTTTTTTGGATTTTCTAATTATTTTTATTCCATTTCTAAAAAAATGGATTTTTGTTCCTGGAAATAGAATTTTGTGTTGTTTATCAAACGGGTTTTTGTTTCAGGAAATAGAAATTTTGTGCTATTATCAAACAGGTTTCTGTTCCAGAAATAGAAATTTTTGGTCATTATCAAATGGGTTTCTTTTCTCAGAAACTCATCTTGGAACCAAAAATAGAAAAATCTATTTCTGTTTCAGGAACTCATTCTGGAACAGAATGGTTATCGATCGCTACATTTGTGACTGAAAACCACTTTGTAACTTAATCAGAGAAAAGCTGATAACTCACTCCAATTAATAATGACGAGTTCTAAAAGAATTAGTATACTGACCAAGACAAATAAAAATTAGTAACTCAATAGAAAAGTTGGTAAGTTTAAAAAATAATTAAACAGCGGGAAGTAACTCAAACAAGAGTTGGTAACCCAAAACTAGTTAGTAATTTAATCTGACAAAAGTAAGTAAATAATTATAATTCAGGTTGATAATATCATAAAAGAATTAGTGATTTCAAAGCATTATTAAATTCTGCAAATAAAAGTTGGTAACTGAGTAAATTATATGTAAACTATAGCAAAGGTTGGTAATTTCATAAAAATGCTAGTAAGATACCAATGAACTACTTGAAAAAAATCATCAGTCTATTTCTTTTACTTACAATATTCTTACATTTACCAACATTTGTTGAAATTTACCAGTACAAGAAAAAAAATCCTTCTTTTTTAGCACGGAACAATATAATTTTGCAAAAATCATAGTACACTAATTTTTAGGGCTCAGGGATTGCCTATATTGGTCTAATCTTCTAGTGGTTAGGTTAATAAGATAATCATTATTAATGATTCCTCAATAAATCATCAACAAGCACTTTCTAGTCAAAGAATCTCTTGAAGGAAAAGCCTTGAGCGCTACACGTCGTATAAATCCAAATGCCAAGTCCCACAGGAACAAAAGAGTAGGCCACTGGCCACCACAAGAATTGAAGATGGACACACCCCTTTGCATTTGCCAGTTTCTGGTTGCGACCACAAGATCAACACCAAAGCATGTGAGGCTAGAAAGCTCTAGGAGTTCAATGTCATGCTTCATACTTCTCAGAATGTACCATGCAATTTTGACCCAAAAAAAAAAGAATATACCATGCAATGCAAACAGATTCAGTTTACGAGCTTGGTCTTCTGAGGGTCGAGCAAAATCGAATATCTTGGGGTCTATTAAGCCGCGAACGAAACAGAATGTTTGTTCGACATGTATGACTAGGAAGAAAGATGATTTTGTTTTGCAGGCTTTACATATGCCAATTATTTACTTCTACCAAGTTTCCTATGTTTTTTTGGCAAGTTTGAGCTCGGGTGAAGTTATGATCTGATTACCGTGCACTCGCAAAAGTAGACAATCTGATACAATAACTGGCGTCAAAGTTCTTGAAAGGGTTTCGATATTGGAAGTGAATGGAAGTTTGTGTAAGTTGTTGAGCCAAGCCTGAGCCTCAACACTTGCTGGCAACTCATATGAATGGAAGTTTCTGTAAGTTTGGAAGTTTGCGTAAGCTTGGAAGTGAATGGAAGTTTGCGTCATAGCTGCGACAGTGTTTTAGTGCTTTTCATTAAGTAACATATCCAATTAAGGCAGGCAAAGAGGGAGCTTGCTTGATTCCTCACAAAGAATTGAATCCCCAAACGGCGACTTGTGAATATTATCATCAAAGATCTTTAGTATCAAATTAGTCACCTTCTTGTAGGTAGTTTACACTCCTGTAATTGGAGGCACTTTTTTATTTTCTTTTTCTGGGTCAATATGGGCAGGACTTGCACAAACAACTGAGTGAAAAGCTTCACGAAGTACAACAAATCAGTAATTCTTCTACAGTTCGCACCCCCTCATGGGAATGCAGCAGAATTATAAGAACGTATCGGCAATACAAAAGGAAATGACACGTAACCGTTTTCTGAACTCTCAGTGATGAGAACAAAGAATACACATTGATCTGCTTGGAACAATCTCTAATCTCATAGCGATTATTCCGTTCTTCTGGTTTTTTCTTTCCAAGATTCGAAAAAGTTGACCAAATGGAATCCCAACAGCTGCATAAGATGTTTTATTTCTTGCAAGCGGCCGTATAAGTTGTTAGACAAGTAATCCTTGTCTTCCGAAACAATCTGCAACAGTTGCATAGGTTTCAAGTTGGATTCTGCTGCTTCTTTGATGAACTCAAGCTTGCATAAATACTTTCACATATAATCTTTTGTGGATTGCTACATCATTCACCAATTAGAACAGGCATGTTCGTGTTCAATATCATTTTCATATGCAGATAGTGAACAAGATATTATTCCCTCAACTAACCTGTCTCTATTGGTCGTCCAATTTGCATCAGGGACAAGAAAATATCATTAATTGGTCTAATGGGGTCATAATCATATTACCTAAAGTACAGTTGCATGGATATGGAAATGACTTGGCATCACCTGTGCATATGAGAGAGAGTTCTGTTGTGCCATGAAGTAAAAATCTTGAAAAGAACCACCTTGTTTAGCCTTATCAATAAATACACAAACACCTGCTTTGAAGCTTAGTGACTTGTGCTTTGGTCATTCTGAGATTATTTGCCAACTCAAGAAACTCACAGAACCCTCCTCAACAACCCATCAAAGGGAGAGAACTACCATTCTTCTCTTCCTCAACAACCAAAATCTATAATGTCAGAGAAAAAAGGAAAAACAACATTAATATTGTCAGTCCCCTTCTTCTGTTGTCTTTACAGTCACAAGTCTCCTGTTTTGAAAATTTCCAATACACCCTCTTGTGATTTCTATCAGCAACTTCTTTGTAGTAGCGATGGGAGATAAAGACCACAGCTCTCATGAAAGCAACGGGGGTGCAGAAGGTACCTATTTTAAGTTGACTAGTTTAGAACCAAAGGTTTTTTTGAAGCTTAGACAGTGATAATAGCAGTCTTCCTTCCTCTTTATATTGCTCTGATGATGAGGGAAAACAATGCCTTCTTTCAGGGGCCAAAAGAGACGATTCAAAGTTGGAGTTCTCTGAAGATGAGGAGACACTGATTGCAAGGATGTTCAGCTTGGTTGGAGAAAGGTAATATGGTGCTTCCGTTTCTTGTACATCTTGTAAACCTTGAGAGATTACTTTGGCATCATATCGTTGTGCTTTTAGGTGGTCACTTATAGCTGGGAGAATCCCAGGAAGAACAGCAGAAGAGATTGAGAAGTTCTGGGCTTCAAAGCACTCTGCATCTAATCATCAAAGATGAGTTCAAGGTTAAAAAATGAAGCAATAATTGCACATAGCTTCTCTCTCATGGCCTTATTTAGATAAATTCAGTCTTCCTTTTCTTTTTTATAATTAGCTCTTTTGGCAATCAAATTCAACTTTTCTTGGTGTTGGGGAATCATTCTTGATACAAGAATTCATATAACCAAGAATGTTTTGTCTAATCATATTGAGTAACTTTCAACCTCGGAGTAATTGGATAAACATTGTTTAGTACGGACCATTTGCGTATTCATCTTGTTTAGGTACAAAACATAACATATACCGAATCTACTGTACTTCATATCTTACCCGATCTAATCTAGTGAGTTAGAGAACATTGATGAGCCACGAGATCACTGAGCTATCCTCTCGATCTATTGCTTTTCGATGTTGTTAAACGGAGAAAGTTGATTAGGTCTCAATTCATCCAAATTGGGATGCTTATGTCTCAATTGACTAAAGTACAAGACGTTTGAAATTGATGCCACACTATACCCTTAACAAAAGCATATATGATTCAATACATGTAGACTTCATAGTGGCCCAGGAGGAGCCCATAAAACCCACGAGGTCGCTCGTTGTCTCGGCCTTTGCGCAAGATTTGGATCAAATTGCAATTCTTATGCATCAGATTTAATCCGAATTGACTGCTCGAGACGGTATGAGCGACCCTAAATCAACGATGACATGAAAAGTGCTTAAAATCCATGGAGCTTGCCGACGTGGAAATACCACATCGGACAACTAACGGTGACTAGGGTTAACGGAGGAAAGATTTTTGACTTGAGTGAAAGTTGGTTATCTTTCATAGAAAAGAAAACGTTGGAGAAATAATGGGAAATGGGCCTAAAATTGAACGTTTTTAGGAAATTGGGCCTAGATTTAATTCGAATTGAATGTTCAACGGGGTTTGAGCGGTCTAAAAAAAAAGTCCTTTTTGCTTTTTCCAAAGAGATATTTTAATTTTTGAAATTGAGAAGATGTAGATAAATTATGTCGTACATGTTAGAATTGAAATAATTTCCGCTAATTTTTTCGTGTTTGTTATTGATTGAACTCTATCAAAATTATGTTTTTGGTGTATTCACTACAAACTCTGTCCTATTTTATGCATTCCGGTGTAAAGCTAAATGCCACGTCATCATTCTCTATTAATTATTTGACGAAATGATAAAGTTAGTGACCATGATAAAGATAAAATTCATTAAATAAATTGATTGATAATAAAAAAAGAAAAAGAAAAAAGTAGAGTTGAAATGATTGGAAAGTTGCTCATATTTGAATAATTACATTGATAATTCATCTTGGGCTTAGATAGGGGTGGGGACAATCGGAAGCAAAAGGCAATGCTTTTTATTCTTTATTCCGGCTAATTTATTATTCCAGACATAGATAAAATACTAAATTTTTTAAGCACATGTCTAAGTTTGGCCTAGTTCAAGCCCTCTTTATATTTTTTTTCCAAAATTGAGAATGATTAGCTTAGAATAATGCCAACACTCTTTTTGATCATTTAAAGTTGGATTATTGGTGAAGACTCGGCATAAAGTGTAGTGTCGGTGGCGAAGCCGCTTGGGTGTTTTAATTTGGTCTGAAATTCTGATTAATTTTTTTTTATAATGCTGGTGAATAAATACCCCTATTTATTCAAAGTAATGCATGTTCTTACCGCAAAGAATTAGTCGAGTTGATTAAGATTTAACATTAGGTTGCGCCTTAATAAGCATGATCATTTGTCCAAATTCCCGTCGATGCAATAACTAGATCGTTGATTCGAAGGGGGAAAATTCTCATGAGCTGTGAAATTAGTCGGGTGCTTTAAGAGTCTTGAATATCTAATGTCATCGGTAATCTTCTACAAGCTTATAAGTCGATACCATGTAAAATTTCACGTGATTATGATTAACGAATTTTAAGTTTAATCGTCAACATTCAAGATTTGTAACATCAATTGCATGTGAAAACGACACTACAAGCGCCATATCACTCGAGTGTCGTGGCTTTCTTAAGGTATCCACTTAGGTGTCATAATTTTTTTTCTGATACTTGAGTATCATATAACTTTTCAATTGGTCACTTTTTCTTTTGATTATTCAATCGATCACTTGAGTGCCATAACCTTTTGGTGAACGTTTCTAAAAAGTTATACTCAAGTGGTCAATTGAAAATTATAACACTCAAGTAAACGTTTTTAAGAAATCAAAACACTCAAGTGATCAAAACTATCTCCGATCCAATCAACTTTAAAACCTAACCTAACTACAAGCACTGATTTTTTTGTAATCTACCATTTTTAGTAGTAGTACATGCTTTAAACTAGCAGTATTAGCAGCACCCCAGCTCACTACCTTTGCCATTCTTGAATCCCAAATATTTAAATATCATATTAAATAATCTCCAAATATAAAACAATGTGACAATGCTTTTGCTTTCCTTATATGGTGGTATTGTCTCTTCATGACCATCTTCATTTGTCCTCTTGTGCTATTTTGTTCAAGCTAGAAAGGACTTCTCAACTACCAAATATCATTTCAAATATCAAAACCCCAACCAAGTGACCCAACAATGTAATTTGGTTATTATCATCTGGTATGGTCATGAGGTGACCAGAAAATCAATCTTTTCCAAAGCTATGCTAGCAAATTTTTACTAGGCTCATGATAACATGGAGCAATTAATTTTATGTGCAGCTTCTGGCTAACTTCTCGGCATGCTATGACCCATCATTAATGCCATCCCCAATCGCAATTATCAGAAACCCCACTTGCAAAGTGAAAGATGACCTACTCAATTAAATTTCAACAACAATGAGCTTAGCTAAACCTCCATGGAGATTCGTGGAGATGGTTATCAGATGAAATGATAATAAATGCATGGGAACTAATTACAATAACACGAGCATTCTAAGCTTCTCCTTTCTCTTGCTACAAGTAAAATACGTATATAGCTCAATTTTTCTGCATTTAGTCAGCAATTTTCTTGACTCCACCTAACTCTGATTCTGGTTTGCACCGACATAATGATGTTGGAATTTTTCTTACATGCAAGGGAAAGAATAGCCAGGTTTTCTTTTCATGGATCATGCCAACAAGACTTGACAAAAAGTTGCCAATGGACTAGCAGTGGGATGATTTTCCTAAATGGAAGCCATTGGTACTTTGTGATATAGAGACAAGCAATGAATGGACATGGGAAAGTTCCTCAGTGCTCTTCAATTGCACTTCTCTGATCTTCTCAGCGTTCACCTTCTCCAACTTGTGGAGAAAAGCTATCCCCCATCGTCAATTCTCTAGTAGGGCAATGAAACCCTAAAAAGAAGAAAGACAATGAAAGCCCACTTGAAAGTGAAAGGTGCCCCCAGCCTCCACTCCTTTTTCTCCTTTAAACGTGCCCTTCTCTTTTGATGTGGGAAACGGTGATATCAATATATTTTGTGTTTGTGCCAATTCTTGAACAAAAGTCCAGCTCACAAGACTTGTCACCTTGTGTTTCGAAGCTGGTTGTGTGTATCTAAGCTAGAGGTAGTAATAATGGTCTACTAATGCAAACTGGTCAGAAGCCATATGCGTTCTTGCAAGTTATATTCATGTTAGTAGCACGGAGTCAAAGGACGTATGGAAGTGAGGCTACATTAGGTTAAAGCCCTTTTTTGGTAGGAAGAAGATAGTGTAGGTTTTGTTAGAGTTTCGTGTGTCAATACTCATGTATTTCCAGTATTTTTCTACTGCTCAGTTTTAATTGCTCTCCATTGATGATGATTAGTCGGGCAAGGTGTGTCAATACTCATAAACACAAGTGATTAACCTTACGCTGTGGATGCTCTTACTCTATTCATGAAGTATAATTTTGACCAAATCACTCTCCTCTTTATTTAAAGCAGGCAAAGTAGAACTTAAATGACCTATCTTTTTATCATATATCTAATATCGTTATAAAGTTATCAAGTAACAAATTAAAGGGGTCATGTAATATACTCTTCACTATGATATAATGCTGATTACATTAGAAAATTACACTCATGTGACGCATGCAGGTTGTGAGTGTCGAGGGGACATAAGGTAGATAGAATCGGAATCAAACAGCTCTTAATAACATTCAAAATTAGCTTTTCCTAGAAGCTAGAAAAAACAAAAAGAAGAAAGAAAATTTAGCAAAAAATGATAATAGGGATAGGAATGGGGAAGTTCGCTGCTTCCGTTATATAAGAAGAGCTCAAGAACTAGCAAAGTACGCCCAGTAGCTTGAAAAATGGCATCCAAAGCTCTCATCTTCTTGGCTCTCTTATCTCTCTCAGCAGTGTCACCGAGACCTGCCATTGCAGAGATCAATGAGGAAGACAAGCCTGGTCTTATGACGAACTTCTACAAGGACACCTGCCCTCAAGCCGAGGACATCATCAAGGAGCAAGTGAAGCTCCTCTACAAGCGCCACAAGAACACTGCATTCTCCTGGCTGAGGAACATCTTCCATGACTGTGCTGTTCAGGTATCAAACCCACATTGTGCTTAACATCGGTTCGGCTCGGTTGTTTTCGAGTTTAACGAGCAACATTTGTGTTTTTCTTGCAAAAAAAAATTGCTTTTATGCTATCTTTCACTCATTTTCCAGTACTTTTTGTGCTCGGGTTCGACCAATGAGTTTTACTTGGAGTCACGAACTCAGATCTCCGAAGTGAGGCTTGGTGGAGCTAGCAAAATGAGAAATTATCAAACTTGATCTCCAAGTTCTAGAATTGAGATTTGAGTTCAAGAAGTAGACTTTGTTGACTCAACTCGGCTCGTTTTTCGCAATAGTGATTGGAAATATCATTTGCCTAGTGTGATGTGAATGCAGTCATGTGATGCTTCGCTGCTCTTGGACTCGACGCGGAGGAGCTTGTCGGAGAAAGAAACCGACCGGAGTTTCGGTCTAAGGAACTTCAGGTACCTGGACACCATTAAAGAAGCTGTGGAGAGAGAGTGCCCCGGAGTTGTTTCTTGTGCGGACATCCTGGTCTTGTCTGCTAGAGATGGCATAGCCGCGGTACTCACTATTGTTATTATCCTAATTATGATGTTTCAGTGTGAATATATAGAATCTGTAGATTTTTCCTTCCTGTCTTTCTCTATAATCTCTCTATCGTACATGCTCCGCATATTTAGTAACCCTCTTCTTTTCTTTTGAGTGAACAAAATTTATCTGTACACTCGTCCTTTTAGCTAGTGTTTGCTAAATCTGATAAGTTCACATTTTTCCTTTGGGAATGAAGTTCGCTCAACTTTGCCATATTTACCTTTCTTTCTCAAAAACTTGTCAGCTTGTTCTCATAAGGAATTTCAAGAAAATTGGTGAAATCTGGTCTTGAAATTCACTCTCTCTGAACAGCTAGGAGGCCCTCACATTCCCCTGAAAACTGGAAGGAGAGATGGTAGGAAGAGCCGAGCTGATGTGGTCGAGCAATACCTTCCAGACCACAATGAAAGCATTTCGGCGGTGCTCGACAGATTCGCGGCCATGGGCATCGAGACACCAGGAGTGGTTGCTTTACTAGGTAATTTACTATATGATCCTAGTGCTTCATCATGAGCTTTATTTTCCTAAAGTTGTTTAGCCTGCATATTGTAAAATTAGTATACATGTTTTGTTATAATAATCTTAGTTGCTTGGTTGGTGCATCACTCTATCTCCTGAATTTGTGTAACAGGAGCCCACAGCGTGGGCCGAACCCACTGTGTCAAGCTGGTTCACCGGCTCTACCCAGAGGTCGACCCTGTGCTGAACCCGGACCATGTCGAGCACATGCTTCACAAGTGCCCGGACGTGATCCCAGACCCGAAGGCCGTGCAGTATGTGAGGAACGACAGAGGCACGCCCATGGTGCTGGATAACAACTACTACAGGAACATACTGGACAATAAGGGCTTGCTCATAGTGGACCACCAGCTTGCCACTGACAAGCGGACCAAGCCCTATGTAAAGAAGATGGCCAAGAGCCAAGACTACTTCTTCAAGGAGTTTGCAAGGGCCATCACCATCCTCTCCGAGAACAACCCTCTCACTGGTGACCAAGGTGAGGTCAGGAAGCAATGCAATGTTGCCAACAAGCACCCCTAGAAGGAGAAGTTTGTTTTGCCTCCTTTTGCTTTTGCTTTTTAGGTTCATCTGTGGGAATGGAAAAAAAAAGTGCACATGGGTGTGAAGATTGTGCAGATCTTGTGACCCTTTTTGTGCAATTTTTTTCTGCTCTAAGTTGGCATGGTGATTGTGGGTTGTGGTGTTATCTATGGTGGAGTATGATGAATAAGTAGTTCTGAATGTTGATATATCAATTGATGCACTTGTGTATGCTGCTTTCCTTTTTCCTCTGTCTTCATGATGATGGAGGCAAATTGTTTTTCAAGAAAGAGTGATTCATTACCCTTCAAGACTGAAGCAACGATGTGAGGATAATGAATTAAAATGGTCCCCCATGGGAGGCAAAATGAGATAGACAAAGATGTACTGTCAACTTGGACAAGGGCAAAGAAAGTGAGTGGACATAAAAAAGGATAAGATTCTCACAGACGAGCAGATATATTGTTGTGTATCCTCCTGCAATGTTAAATGTTCTGGTTGGAAGCTAGTGCAGAATTATGGCACTGAGACAAAAATAAAGCTTTCAGGTATCATTACAGAGTTGTGGGCCATGAACGTTGAGAGAGTTTTAGATGTACATCCACATTATATAGAGATAGGTATAGTCCGTCCAGTGGAAAAAACATTGGTGCATTGCCTAGACTTATCATACATAAGTACACTATTTAATTTACGTTTCTTAGATTTCGACCCAAAAAAAAAAATTTACGTTTCTTAGATCACAAGGTGAAATGATAGAGAAGAAGGTGATTTTCCAAGAAACATGGAAGCAATACCCTTGCCTCCCGTTTAGCTTCACGGATTCAAGATAGTAGGAAATTTTTCACTACTGTCGGCTCATCGATTCTATTAGTTGTTAACCTGATTACTGCTACAACAGAGAAAGAAACAGTCTCTTGCATATACACTAAACAACACACCTGCACAGAGGAGGGGGTCAAAATTGCACGATTATGGATGAGCCTTGTCAATCTTAGTACATTTCTTTAACTGCTGCGGTATATGACCCGAACAATTCGTGGCAGCCAGACTCGATTGTCGCTGGCACTTCTTTTAGCTATGAACTGCTCAAACTGCTTCCAGAATCATCACCAGATTCCTCTGAGACTGCATCAGTCTTTCCCGTGCCTCTGACTATATTCGGGAAAAAACCGTGCGAAGGAGGATAGGTGTAGCAGCTGTGTGGATGCACAGAGAAATAACTTGCCGAAGACGGCAATGGGGCATAAGCATATGTGCTCGGGGGAGGCCAATACATCATAGGAATGAAACCGTTTACGGGCTGGTGGGGTGGGAACACATTGTACGATGTTGGACTAGTGAATGACATGCTACTAGCATTGTTGTTGATTGCCGGTTTTGAACTCGAAGCTTTATCTACACCTGGTGCTTGAGTGTGGACAGAGTTAAAGCCGACTAATCCAAATTGAGGAGCACAGCTTGTAGTTACTGATTGTAGACAACCTAATGATCTTTCTGAATTTGAAGGCTTATGTGCAGCATGACTATGCCTTTTGGGTTTGAATTTTGTTGAGACTTTCTTGGTAGTAGATTGGTCCAACTTGAGGGCAGCTTGCTGCAAGAAATACTTTCAAAAAATAGATATAATCCATTGGAATACTGCAGCAGAAATAAAAGGAAAAGAGAAGGGGCAAAAGGGAAACTTTCCCATAGAGAGGGCGTTAAGAAATTATTGCACTACTCGTGCCTGAAACTAAATTTGCATAATTTGTTGTAATGAAAGTTCGACTAGTAAAAAGAAAGCAATTGCATAGTTTGCTTCCTCGATTACCATTCTTATCGGTGCTCTGATATAGTCGTGAATTGTGTTCCTATGACTGAATTATTGGAGAATACAGAGATACAACGGACTTGTAACGGCAATCTTACAGTGTTGGTGGTTTCTCGGTGTTCAAGAAATAATTTCTCTCCTTCAGCATCCCCATCCTTCCTGCAGCACACTCACGAAGCTTTACTAAGCAGGAGGCATCGATATAAATAATATGGTACAGTGAGGTAAGAGTATGAGCATTAGCGAATGAAAATGTTTTCAACTGATCTGTCAAGTGCTTGCTCATGCTGGACTGTTAACCGATGGGGTAAAAGAAAATGCAACATCATTTGCATCAGGCAATAAGAACTATCAAATGTTTTTACTGGACTTCGTATACCTGTAGTACTTTTGGAGCAAGTCCAAGCTTCTATATTTGGTCTCCTTTTGAATCAGGTGATCAGTGAAACCGGCAATGAACAAGAGCGTTATGCCCAGGGCCTTAAAGAAGAAACTTCCACTGCGCACAGGGATCAACAGCGCCATTTTGCACATAAGCGGCCCGAAGGATTTCAGCTTTTTCTTTCCCATGCGCTGTCTGACATATCTGAAATCGTTTAAGCCATCGCTCTTAGCAGCGGAAACATCTCTTTGGCCACACCAAGGTAGAGACTAAAATTATGAGGCAAACTATCAAAATCTTAGCCATGAAAGAACAGCACTTAACTCGTTTTGGGGAAGATTTCTAGTCCTTCCTCCATATTTGATGCATAGGAATAAGGATGAGGGGCAGCTTTGGTCGGATGGACGCATGGCCTTCTCTTCTTCTAGTATTTGGACAGGACACAATGTCGGGTTCTGTCTATTTGGATAGAAGACCTTTTTGCGGATGCCGGGATTTACATATAAAATGTGCTCCTGCCAACAAATTCACATCAACGCTCGCTCATAGTTGATTCTAAAAAGCTATAGGAAATTGTATCAGAGGAGTTGAGAAATCCTGATAGAATGTTTCGTTTGCTAATCCCCGATCAGGTCGCTGAAATTCTACATGCCGTAGCCATAGTTTAAACTACGATACAATGAAGTACCATGATGAATTTAACATATTTATCCGCAACTAGACCACGCTGCTCTCTTGAAGCAGAATGAAGTCATTTTCTGTGTCCGCTGATTTAGCAGAAAGATTAGCTTTTTCTTTAAGATATCATCATTTTTATGAGATCGAAAGAAGATCCTATGAGTTTTTGCTGTAGAGATAGAATATCGGAGTGATTACCCCGGGATTTTGCAGAGAGACAAAGGGTTCACCCTTCCTCAAAATACTAAAATGGTTGAAATCCAGCTCGTACATATCTCCACACCCGTGCTTGATACCGAGGGACGCAAAAACAATAATCTTTCTCATCGTATGAGACTGAGCATTTTTTTCTTGAAGGGCTTCCATTTCAACGATCCTCCTAACTTCTTTAGGACAGAAAGCAACCTCTGTGGAACTTCTGTGCAGCTCTGTGCTTCCAGACCCTGTGTGGCAAGCATAATATCCAGATGAATGTACCTCTACATGTTCCTTGCAACCTTCGGTCTTAACTTCTTCCTTCTCAAGATCACCGAGTTTCGACATGTCCTGAACCTGTCCAATCTCCTGTAAGCAAAGATTGGCTTTTGGAGTATCCACCGAATCTTGCATTGCATTCACAAGAGTCCTAACGTTATAGGAGTTCTCCAAGGCCGATACCTGCACTTTCTTCACTAGTATATCATTGTTAGTTCTCGAGTTCTCTTCAGCATTGTGAATGTTGGTGCCTTCTTCAACGTGGTAATTGTCATCTTCATCGTTGGCTTCATCCGCATTATCTAAGTCATCGGCATCATCATCTTCCTTCAAACTTTCAAAACCTGACATGCGTGTATCTTCCATGCTCATCCAACTGACCATGCCATCTTTGGTATTTTCATACTTTGGTAGCACGCACTGATCATCATGCCCAACTGGAGAAGCCGATTTACCGCCAAAAGTTTGTCCATTTTCAGGCCTACCATCAAATTCGCCTGTCTTTTGTCTTTTTGACTCTTTGGAGCTTTGCCACGGTGCTTTTCTATGACTACCCTGAGAACCAACATTGCTGAAAGCCTTTTCAAGCAGGATGAGAGGGTGAGGCCTTTAAAGACCATAACATATACGAAAATTTGAGTTGGTCGGAGATATGAGATGAAAGGACAAAACTGATGAGCAATTAAAGTTACGATCAAACAAATCTGGTTGATAAACACACAGCTAATGCACCATTTCCTTTCCCATTTTAATAGAAGGAATATCAAGTAGTACCGCAAAATATATAATGATGCATCGTGGTCAAAATTTGTGCATGGTTTGATTAACTACTAAAATCAACAAAACCAGATAACATACACCGTGTTGATAACTCTTCTGCTCGCTAACAGATTATGCATTGTAAAGTACCTCTTTGTCTTGGAGAAGAGATTTATTTTCTTTCTCCCTTATTTGAGCTTCAAGTTCAGAAATTCTCTCCATGAGCTCTGCATTCTTCATCCTCTCTCTCTGTAGTTCAGCTGAAATCTGTGCCACGATGTGATCAACACTCTCTCCCTCCCCTTGCACGACATGTTCCTCTATAGAACACAATGCAGATGCATTAACCATTCCAGGGCATGAATGTGGCTCCACCATCCTCTAGTTTTAGTCCCGCAATCAATTGTTTCTGCTGCAAAAAACCAACCAAAACAAAAGAAAGGAACCTCAGAGCAGTGTCTTGTGCTACGCAAGAAAAGACATTGGCACAAGCATAGACACAAACAGCGCGGATGAAACAGAACAGGACAATGCAGAGATTGGTTCGCTTCATGTGACATAAATGGATTCATTTTGAGATGAAGCTTTGCTGACAACGTGGCTGTTCAAAGAGCCCTCATTTTGGAGAAGGGGTTTAGGAGAAGGGAGAGATTGAAGCACCTGAGTTGGTCTTTTGGGTGCAAAGTCAAACAGTCCTCAAAACTGGAGCTGGAAGCTACACATGATAAAACTCTGAAGATGAAAACTCTGAGAAGGAAGAAGAAGAAGAAGAAGAAGAAGAAGATGGGTTGCTTCTGAATTTGATGTTCAGTGCGAGTGAAGGAAGATGAAGAGAAAGGCATCAGCAAAGCCGAGAGTTGAGGCATGAAACCCCACGTGCATCACTTCCAGACTTGGCGTTTCATTTCATAACTTCATCCCCCACAAAAAAAATGTCAATAAATTTCCTAAACTGTTCATTTTCAGAAGCAATGATCACTCAATGTTTGGTATTTTCACACTGAGATTATAAAAAAAATGGCTCTTAGTACTGTCACAAAGCTTGGTGGAGCCTAGATCTTCACTCCTTGCTTATTTAATCAAGAAAAAACAACTAATAAGTCTGGTGATATCGCTTAATATATACAAGTGCATTTTCTGCATTGCCAAGGTGTTTTGGCTGCTGCCAAGAAATCATTAGCAAGAGCATCCGAGGCATTTACCAATATTGAAAAAGTCCAGATTTTTGTGAGGTGATGAATCTATAAATTAGGACCCGGCATGTCTCATCATCTGTTCATAACATATAAGTACTATAAATCTTATCAACTCTCAATTCTTTATTTATTTTTGCTTTGTTCTAAGAGCTCCAAGTACATGATCTCATTTATCCAGTGTCCCCTTGAAGACTCCCGATGAAAAGAGTGCAAGGCCGGGGAGAATTGTTAGATAGTCTGGGAATAAAAAACATCACTTGGGAAAGTATCACGGCCTATAGGAACCCGGCCACCTACCGCTTTTAAGCCTGTTTGCATAGGCTCATGCACATATTTACGTTGAATAATCCCAGGAGCTTTCTCTTCGACACGATCGGTTACATATTCAACTTCAATTTGGAATCAATACCAAGTTCCAAAACCTCTCGCCCCGGTAATGATTCATTCCGGCTGTGATTTTGTGCACCTTATTCGCCATTCTTCAACTCTGCTCGCATTTCTCATATAATTTAGTTCTTGTTTGCACAGAAACACAAGAGAGGATGTCAAATATCTCCCATCGCTTAGCTATAGGATTATAATACCCTTCATGTATGTAATTTTCCTCTATTTATGAATTAATTGCCTTAATTATTGATTGGCCTGTTATTAATTGCCTTAATTAAGGCACCTAAACAAGAGAATCTCTAATGGCGGTGGGATTATAATTATAATTGCTTGAGGGAAAAGAGAGACTTGCTTGTCTGTCTTGGCTTGGGAATCAATGAACGCTTTCTTCCAAGCCTGCAATATAATTTGCGCACACGTGCAATATTAATATAGAAAGACAACCTCACGTGGAAAGGCAACATCCATGGTTGTCTATACTGCAGTGCAGTTTGTGTCGGAGGAATATGAAGCCCAACCTTGGATACCCTTCCTCCTGAATTTTTTTTTTATTTCTTTTCATTTTAATAATAATAATGATAAATAAATAAATAAATAATGCCACCCAACTTTATTTAGACAATGGTGATTTCAATTTTCAACCCTGAGTGTTAAATTAAGATGAATTGGGACATGTTTCATCTATGATGAAAGTAAGGTTTTTACTTTTATGACTATACTTTTTTTTTTGGGTCGAATTATGACTATACTTTAGCCGCCACTCATTTACTTTCGTACATATTATTCTGGATATATGAAAATGTGGGGGTGAAGTTGGCAACATTTAAAAGATTGAAACAATCGCTCAGTGTTTGGGATTTTAATTTATTGCTTTTTTTTTTTTATCGAATAATTTATTGCTTTGCTAGCATATTATTGCTGCGAAGATATCATTATCCTTTTAAAAAAAAATTCCAATTGTTAACTATGCATAGTGATATTTTCACAATAGTAATGACTTTTTCACAAGCATCCTTGGTATATAAAATATTTTCCTGAAATTTGTGAAAGAAGCTATTATGGGTCGGAAAATATCATTAGACAAACTAAATATGGTAATCCAATGAATACTCAAAATAAAATAAAAAAGTTGATATCTCATAGAACCAACTCCACCTACGCTGACATTAACTTTGGTGACATTTTCGTACAATTTGCAAGCATAGAAATGCTAGTAATTTAAAAAAAAGATGGAAATTATGAGGTAAACTTATTCGACCCACGGTTTTCCAATTTGTGAGCACACTCTTATTTACAGCTAAAAATTTTCAATTTTCCGAATATTTCAGATGAATAAATATCTAGGCATAACAATAATAACTTACACCACGACTTTGAATGGGAAGAGAGATTTCAAGAACAAGAGCAAAACAATCTTCATTTTTAATTGAATAACAACAAAGAGGGTAAAAAAAATGTCTTATTTTCCATGGAAATTGTGCTGTTGAGGGAAGGAGAGGCCCTCAATAACCGTGCACACACACCTCGTTCCTCTGTTCTCTAAACTTTTTAGGCATTAATAATTCATAGGAAACTTAAAATTTGTATCTGTTTGGACCGAATAGGAAACTTAAAGCTAAAGTGTTGCCCTTGGCAGATACAGATCTTTATTGGGTGTCCAGTGGGGTGTGTCTGGTGTGGTTGAACTTTGTGATGTCGAGGTTTTCTATGTTAATTAGCTCCACATGAGGATTGAGTAGTTTATGTTTTTCGATGACTTTAATGGAAGGAACTCAGAAAGATTTTCTTTCTTTTAATTTAATTGGAAGAGTTAGGATTATGGCTTGACTAAAACCTTACCACAAGCAAGACCACCTGGGATTAGCCTTAATGACCCCTGTGAGAGAGAGAGAGGGATCCCATCCAACCAACTTATGCAAAAACTTGAAGCACATATGCATATGTTGTTAGCTTTCTTGTCTAAATTTTTAATTAACAAAAATTCGCTGGCATTTTTCTGCTCGTCAAATGCCTTGTCAAGATGTTTTTACGGGTTTAATGTGAAGGTTAATTCGCCAGCGAGAACGACTGAAGCATTCATCCCTTTCCTTGGAAAATTGCAAAGTCGAAATGCGCGAAAACTGATATAGACATTACCTGACTGCTAAAATAAAAAAAGATAGTTAATAAAATCTACAGCTTAGTGATTGCCTAATGTCACTGGTGGCCCACATTTGGGAAGTAATTTGCTTCCTGGAGCTCTAAATGTGATGTTCTTCAAAAATGTGAAAAAAAAATTCCGAAAACCCAATTTTTTGCTTCTTGCATTTATGTTGTTAAGAGTTATATTTTACGATACTCATTGCCATAATCCCTTTTTTTTATGTACAAGTATATCCATACTCTCGCAGTCTTAAAGACCAAGAGCCCGACCCGAGTCCGAAATCATGGGCAATCGGGTTCAGAAAACGGGTCATCCATTTTTTTCTATGATTAGGCAGGCTAATTCTTGGGCAACATCTCTTGGTCTTTCCTCGACCAGAACTTCCTCTCGCTATCTTTGCTCGAGCTCTTGCTCCACCTTCATCTCAAGCTCCCACGCAAGCTCACACGTTCGACCTTTCTTCGCAAAGGTCTTGCTGCTGAACATTGGCTTATAATGAGATTTGCGACAACATAATGTGATCAAGAATCATTAGCTTCTCCGTACACTTGAGCGGCACTAATGATTCTTATCATGATTGAAAGTGTATATTATTATATATGTTGACTCTAACCAACTAGATTCTCAATTAGGTTATCGTCTGATCGGATCATACGATAAATCGGCATTCATGAATTGATTGGCCAATTTGTTTTGGCTCAAGGTGCTTAACAATCAGTTTTTGTCTATACTAGATTTTTATGTGAAATACAGTTGGAGAATCTGGTGATAAAACTAATTTTCCTCGCACCATGTTTCTTTATTGTGATTCCTTTTGCACCGATGGTTACACTCTCTATAGGTTATTTGATGTTTGGCCGCGTAGGTTGGTTATGATTGCTGCAGAAAAAAAGATTGTGCATTTCTGATGCTTTTTCTTTTTTCAGAATGATCTAATAATAGTTGAAAATAATAACACAAACAGTTCTTGAACTTTAATCCAATGTGCAATGTGGTCTTTGAACTTTTAATTTGTTCAATATAATCCATGAACTTTAGCCTAATGTTCAATGTGATCCCTAGAACTTTTAATTTGTTCAATGTGATCTTTGAACTTTTGGTACATGTTCAATGTCGTCCCTGAATTATATGAAAATATTTAATGTAGTCTCTGAATTATATGAAAATATTCAATATAGTCTCTGAATTTGAATTAATGGAAAGACTATATTAAACATTTTCATATAATATACATTAAACATTTTCAAATAATTCAAGGACTAAATTGAATCTATACATAAAATTCAGGGACGATATTAAGCAAATTAAAAATTTAGGGACCACATTGCACATTGATTAAAGTTCAGAGACTATATTGAATAAATTAAAAATTAATAAATCATATTGTATAGTCCAAAAGATGGGGAATCTCTTGGCTAAGTACTTCTTATTGTACCATATTCCGAAAGAAAACAGAGGCCAGGTGTTTTTTGTTGTGTGGCTGGCTATCAATTCTATCAAGGACGAGCCAGGAGGCTGGGACACTTTGTTTTTTTTGGGTATCGGAAGGCTGGACACTTTTCTCTTCCCTGCAAGTGCCCGTATCATCCCCCCCATGCCAAGGGCTGTTCTCTGCACACATGTCAACTAATTAATGGATTAGCGTACATCTTTTTTTGGCACTTCTAGACCACCCAATATACTCCCATGTTGGGTATAATTCTGTTTTTGATGAATGGTTAAGTAATTGTTCATAATTCACCGCAAAGATCAATGGTCTATCTCGAGCCATAAAAAAATAAATAACACATAATTATAAATTATTATGGAGTTTACTTCTTTAAAAATTTACGGTTCACATTATGTGTTGCACTTATAGTGGTCAAAGACTGATACGCTAGCAAAACTCATTTTTTTTTTAATTTAAAAAGGCGAAAAAGAAAAAGAAAAAAAGAACAAATGGATCTCAGCACTTCTGGGATTTGTGAGCCTAATAAGAGACTTGGGTGTCCCTTTCCTACAAAAGGTCAAAAAAAGCATATGATCCTCATCCCCCACATATCCTCCTCATCTATCCTTTTTCAATTAAAAGCCCCCCAACTGTTTTTCCATCTCTCTAATCCCTTCTTCAGTCCAAGGTGGGTCTCCCCCACACTTTTGTCCTCTGATTCCCATCTGAAATCAAAGTACCCTTCTACATTTTATTGCACTTGTCATGTCAGAAAAAGAAAACATTATATGTGGCTCATGTGCAATACTACTTGGGATTAGCCTTACTGACCTGAGAGAGAGATCCAATCAACTAATGTAAAACTTGAAGCATATATGCATCCATTGTTAGCTTTCTTATCTTACTGTAATTAACAGATAATGTCATCGAGTGCCTTATCGAGATGTTTTTGCGGATTCAATATGAAGGTTAATGCGATAGCAAGGAAGACTGAAGCATTCGTTCCTTTTTCTTGCAAACAAAAAGGAAGTTACGATGTGCGAATACTGGTCGGGACACTATATGACCTCTAACTTTTAATCACAAACTTATGGCTTAGTGATTGCCCAATGCCATCGGTGGCCCGCAAATGGGAAGTAATGTGATTGAGATATTATTCATTTTTAGAAATGAATCATTTTACCAGCCGAGTTCTCGTATATCCACCGGGGGCGATGGCCTTTGGAAATCCTTGCGTTGAATTGTTTTCAGCATTTTACGTCTAATTGGTTTATCCGATCGGTTTTGGTTTAATCCTTAAGAAATAGCACCATCACGAAATTCTAATCGAATTTTGGCTCTCATTCGATTATGTCCCCATTGATAAGTGAAACATTCTACTAACCCAATGTTTCTTCTCATTGAAGGCCGAGACCCGCGCTGCTCCAATCGATTACTCGAATATTGATCTCATGAAAAATAAAAATAAAAAAAAGAATCCATCTCTTTACATGCTTATTATCCCCCCCAAAAACAAGAACAAAAAATCCAGTTAAAAAAAATCATCGAAAATCTAAAAGGATGGAGACATCAACTGCATTAACTGCCAAGTTCTCCAAACTATTGGCATTCATCGTGATCACAAAAAGCATGGACACCTCTCAATGTGAACCGTCCTGTCCTGTGTTAAGACATAAAATTTCTGTTCTTTTCTTTGTCCTCATTTTTTTCCTTGAAATAAAAAAAAGAGAGACAATAAAAGGGGGCGAGAAATGAAAAATAAATGGTTCTCAGCACTTGTGGGGGATGGGTGACCCTAATGAGAGACCATGCATTGCATGTCCCTTTCCTCCAAAAAGGGGGGCAAAACCCATCGATGTCCCCATCACACACATCCCCATCCATCATCCCCCACTTTTTTTTTTTTCCCAAATTAGAGAGGCCCAATTGTTTTTCATCTCTTATCCCCTTCAATCTCAGGTGGGTCTTTCCCCACATCTTTTGTCCTCTGATAATTTCCATCTGAGATCAAAGTCCATTTCCACATTATTTTCACTAGTCATGTCATAAAAAAAACATATATTATGAGGTGTCTTTTTGTCTTTTTCGCTAACGGCATTGAATTCTTCCTAGATACCGACTGAAAATTGATATTTGTTTTACGAGATAAAAAAAAAAGTTGAGCATAATTGAGACTCAAGTTAAAATTGATGCTCTTTCATAAATAAAAACAAAAGTTTGGGCCAGAATTCGTGCCCAATTTAAATTTGGTGTTCTTTTTTTATTAGTACCCGAGATAAGATTGGTGTTTTTCGAGGGAATTAGGTTCGGTTCTATATGATCGGTGCTAGAAAGCGAGAAATTTTTTTTATTAAAATAGTATTGCGCGAGTTAAGTTACACAAAAGAAAGATGGATCTGACTCGTGAGGCAAGTGTTGTGAATTTCTATCTGATTAAATCTACCGAAATATATATAAGAAAATGTAATTTGTCATGAGGATATATCATCCTTTGCATAGAATATTGTCCACAGGAAATGGACTCGATTCGCCTGAATAACGGGTGGCAAAAAATTGTCCGTTCTCAATTAAGTTAAATGAGCAACGACATGGTCAAAAGAATCAAATATTATGTTCATGTCATCAATCATAGCTTAGGTCGATTTCGTCCATACTAATTTGTCTAGCCGTCTTCAACACAGGCACGTCCAAGGACACCACAACGAATTGGTCCATTGCACTTCGCATCATCACGGGTCTTGCCTTCCTTTTTATTATACAATATGGCCGCGTCGTTTTGTAGAAAATGATTAAATATTCCGACCATTCGAGCAAGAATTCCAAAAATAAAAAAAAATAGGTGAATTGCAAATAAACGAATCGAGTGAAAACAATTTTTTTTTTGTTTCGCGTAGAAATGAACACTAAATAAATCAGGCCAAAAAAAAGAAGAAGAAGAAAAAGAAATCATCATATTTTTCTCTACAAGAGGCTGCACTGAATATCCTAAATTCAACCAAGAAAAACCCCAAAAAAAAATATAGAGCTGGACAAATGCACAATAATTGCAACTTGCAATCATTGCTTGAGCTCACTCGTTCCGAGTCCGACTCAGTTCAAAGTTCGAGTAACTGAGTCGGACTCAGCTGATCATTGCCCGCCCCCCACCAACAAAAAAAAAAAAAGTTTTCACCCGTCGAACCCGGTTCGGCTCCAGACGGCGTCGCGGATCCGCCGCATGTCGCGGCCCTTGAGCGTCCGGCCGACGCCCTCGAACACCGACGGTGCCGCCGCCCCCTTCCGGTTCCGCGCGTACTCCCGCGCCAGGTACTCGTGCGGCGGCACCATCTCCGCCGCCTCGCCGTCGTCGAACGTGTCGTCCGAGTCGTGCAGCGACTCCACCGAGTCGGCCCGGTATATCTTGCTCCAGTCGGGCACGTTGACCGGCGCCGACGACGCCAGCTGCCGCCCCCGCGGCGACGGCGCCGGCCCCCGCCGCCGGCGGTCGCCGCGTTCCCGCCGCGGAACTGGTGCACGATCCTCGGGGACGCCACCCCGCCTCCAGAGTCCACGAGGGCCAGGGACAGCCCGCCCGCGCGGCGTCCGTCGCCCAGGACGACCCCACCGAGGCGCCCCCGCCGCCGATCCCGCTGCCGGCGCGTGGGGTCCACGCGCCCTGCTGATCGCCGGCGCCCCCCGCGGGGAGCGCCATGTCGTCCACCGCCGACCAAATGTCCTCCTCTCCGAGCTCGGGCGCGTCGGCGCCGCCGACTCCATGGCCGCCGCCGCCGCCGCCGCCGTAGCTCCCCAGGTATCTCTCGCTCAGGCTTATCGTCAGCCTCCGGCCCTTGTCCATGGGAGACGGCCGGTTTCCGGCGAGCAAATGGACTTCTGCCGTCGACCCTCTTGAGAGACGAAACTCATAAATACGAACTTCATGCAAAAAGACAAGAACGAAAAGAGGGAGGAGCTAACAAATTCACGATTCCATTTTTTCTTTAATTTCTCTAGTATTGTTGGCGCGGCCATGGGAAGAAAGGACACGTATATATAGCACGGCCTCGTGGGGTGAATTTCACTTGAATTTCGGGTGAATTTCATGTCGAGTCGGATCCCCCCACCCCCAACCCCAATAATTGAATATGGAGGAAAATTGGGAAGGCGACGCCGAGACGGGTACGGAACTGTCTTAGAAATTGACCAATCGTGTTGGAATGAGAAAATATTATACACCCAATTTCATAAAACATTTATGATTTGCTCTCAAATTAATTTTTCGTCTCGTCGAAAATCCAAACCGTAACCTCTTTGGCCCAAAATACGTCATCTCTTAGTATTCTGTACAAATTAAAATGCACGCGTGTCGACATAGGTGACAGATGACTACATTGATGATATGAAGTGGAGAATGACTTAGCCGACGTAGATATATATTCTAATGGAGGGTCGATTTGGGTTAGTGGGTACCAATCTGGGGTGTTTTTTTATGATGCGAATATTAATTTGAAGTGAATGTGTCGAGTCGCTTCGTGGGATACAGATTTGTGATTTTTTGTGGTACCGAAATCAGGTTTGGACAAATATAGCACGAGGTACTAGTTTGAGCTTTTTTCGTGAAATGAAAACTGATTTTTAAAGCAAAGGAATTACTAGGATATCAATTTTTTGAAATTTTTAATGGTATTAACAGAAATAAAATTGCACTTATATAAGCCCTAGCGCATAAGACAAATGATATAACGGGCGCCACGCGCGGGTGCGGGCGCGTGTCGTTGAGGTGACAAAAAAATTAACCGAGGGATGACGTCAGCAGGTGGTTTGCTTTTGTCGGGACTCGGAAGGGTAAAGTGACATGGCACTTACCTTTTACGGGGGAATTTGGATTCTCGACTTTCCAATTTGAATTTGCCAATTTTGGAAAATTACTTTATACGAGCAGATATTACTACATAAATGACTGTTCTGAGACAATTTTTAATAAGTAAAAGCTTTATTTTTTTTTAATAAATGATTTACCTAACCCACTATTGAGTTATTTTGACCATTTTTTTTATAATATCCGATATATTCATCTTATTGGAGATATGTAATTTATCAAAATTTCTAGACAAAATTTAAGATTGAAAGATTCTTTATTTCTACTTCGCGTCACGTTGTTATCTAGTTGTTCAATAGCTACATTAATGTACAGGCCAACAAAAAAAATTACCTACATTAATGTCATACGCCAAATGCATATTGTAATCAAGATTATTTCCCTATAACTAATAGTTTTATGATGGATAATAGTTCGATGGTCTTGGCTTAATTAGCACCACAAATTACCGTGTCGAATTAATTTTGCTAAAATTCCTAAAAGAAGGAATGGCATAAATCTTTGATTACTTGGTTGGAAAATTACAATCCCACGTAATCTATGCCGCGGCACCTTTAGAAGTTTAGGTTTCGTAACTAATCGTATTTTCACCTGCTCACATCAAGCGAGAGGAATCAATTAAATTACGAATCTTCGTTAGAGCTTCGTCAGTCTCTTTCCGACACGTCAATGCATCTAAACCTCCTGTTAATTAAATTTTCACAAGGTTAAATACGCATTGTGGTGGGGAGGTATTATCCTGGGATTTATTAATTAATTCAAGACAGAATTTGTCGCGACCAACCCCATTCTCGTATGTTTTTTGTTTTTCTTAAACCCTTGACACGTCACACTTCCAAGTACCACCAAAAACTGAAAAAATAAGAATTAAAATAAAAAAATCCTCCTTGACCCCAGCTGTGGGCCCGCCCCCACGCGGGGGAGCACTCGTGAGGCCGCTCCACGTGTCCCCCCTCTAGACGCCCGACAAGTGCCCAACTTCGCCGTCGCGGGCGGGGCCCACCGGGACCCACGGTCGCCGTCGCGCCACGTGTCGAGAGATGACGCGGCGAGATTTGCGAGTAAAATAATCGCGGGGGCAGGAGGGGGTGCATAATTCATGGTTTAGGATGCGTAATCAGGTTACTAATTATGGCTAAAATAATTTAATCTTCTTTGATTTATTTTTAATTTTTTAATTAATAAATGTTTTCTTAATTAAAAAAATGCTCAATAATGCAAGCTGTGGGGGGGTGTGTGCGAGTGATGGGCACATTGGGCGGACAATAACCTTTTTGGGCCTCGTGGGGCCCAAGGTGGGGCCCATGCAGTGCTTTGTCGTTTTGCGAGGTGAACGAAAGAGCCTAACTTATCTTGAATTCTTTTGACAGCAATATAATTCCTTTTTCTAAAGTTTCTTGGACTATGAGAGAAAAAGACAAAAGGGAAGAAGCGGGTCAAATGCGCAAAGATTGGTGCAAAAAACCCCAAAAAAAAAATAAAAATTGTGCTCCAATTTGGCTTGAGAAATCAAATACTCGAATTCGAGTTTGATCGAGCTTGATTATTAAGCTGCGCGACCGGGCGAGGTGATCGACCTATGCTCGAGGTCGGATTCGTTATGTCTGGATCGTCGAAAGTAAAATTATAACATGGACTCCGAGTTTAGCTCGAGCACCAAATGGAACTCGAATTCGAGTTCTCTCACCGCGGGGATCAATCATGAAATTCGGTTTCCTTTCAATTATGGTCTGTTTGTTCAACGGAAGACTGTTTCCGAAAAATAATTTTCAACTTTTCGGTGTTCTGGATGATGGAAAACTAATTAATCTATGGAAAACGTTTTCTATAGACTAAAAACAAGCGGCTTAGATTGAAAGAGAACAACTTCCCTTTTTGACAAGAAGAAAATTACTTTCCCCAAACCACTAAACAGATGAAAGCTAGTCATTTTCCTTGAAAATGATTTTCCCAGAAAATATTTTCCTTTATCATGAATTTTGTAGTGAAACAAACTCACACTTACTTTTAATTCGAAACTCGCTGGTCACTTTTGCCCTTGTTTCGGCGTCACTCTGCATGCAAACTTGAATCCAATGGGCTTTGGATTGCAAAAAATTTAAACAACAATAAGTTGGAATGTCTGGTTTTGATGGGAATCTGAATCTCAACTATCAGCCACACCGCCCTCAGCAAACCAACCCCTAAAGCATAATTTAATGTAATCCTTTCTTTTTTTTTTGGTCGGTCCTACTCTATCTCTCACTCACGATACACATTCAGATTTGTGCCCTGCCTCTTGCAGGGCGTGGGAATCGAAACCCACATCTTAAACTATGCGGCCCCACCCCTACCCCCTGCGAAAGTGGGGATTCGAACTCCCCACCTCCCCCTTCTCAAGTGAGAAGGGTGGCCACTGGGGTAAACCCCCAGTGGTTAATGTAATCCTTTCCAAATGGAAGCAATTTGATGTCTTTGGAACGGGAATAATTATAAACAAAACGGTCATGGGTTCAATTCAAATGATTAAAGAAGGGGATTTTTGGCTAAAAGAAAGGGGGGCAAAAATATTATTTAGGAGGCGATTTTTGCCCAATCGTGTGAAGAGTCCCATTCTATGTGTAAGCTAATTTTACTTAATTTAGACATGTCACTTGTAATCTATATTTGATTTGCTTAAACATATAGATATAAGACAACGACATCGTAGGAACACCCAACGATGGAGATTTGATTTCCTTTTGAGTGGAAATTGGAAAATGTTTGCGAGCAGAAGGTCTAGCTTAGCATCGTTGCATCAAATGTCTCGTCTTAATTGAATCGACCGACCTAAATTATATTCGTTACGTTCAGAGATTCGTAACCATGCAATTTATTCCGAGTTAATCTGCATTTTATTTGATTGATTTTCCTCTATTGACTCCATAGCGTATCTATTACAAGATATGATGAATTGATTATGATATGATGCCGCATCCTTACCAGCTGCCCTTAATTAGGGCACTTAACCACTCCCTCTTGACCTTTTGACATCGACTTATCACAAGAAATCATAATTAATTATCAGACATATAAGTAATTATATTCCATTACGAGAAGTCACTTAGTTTTGCTGCGAATATTCTTCTTGCTAATAAAATCAAAGAAACTCACAGTATTTGGTTACCTTTTTTTTTTATTAAGGAATAAATTTGGACATGTGAATTTACTGCACCTATTTGATCACCCTACCATCACGTGCAAACAATATCGTTTTAAATCTCCAAATTCAAGTTTATGCTCACGTCTCGCCCGATTTATGAGATTAATAGGGTATCTAGATGATCATTTTTTTTTATTTTTTTAAATTCATTTTTTACGAAATAAACAAAGCTTTAAAGGAAGAAAAGAAAAAAAGAAGAAAAAAGAAAGAAAAGGGGTACGCTCCCCACCAAACACAGAAAATGGGGTCAAAATTTCAAATACCGAGACAACACCAGAACTAGCAAATCCAACTGGGCCGAGTTGAGTGAATTCCTTGGGTTTAAGTGGTCTGGGCCACACGAATTGGACTCCACAAGCTGGGCTGGACCCCTTTTTCTTTCTCTTCTTTCATTCATTCCGAAAAAAGTGTCAAAAAAGTCCTAAACCTTTTGTATTAGTGCTAATTTAATCCTAAACCTTTTTTTGGTGCCAATTCAGTTCTAAACATTTTGCATTGGTGTCAATTCAGTCCTAAACTTTTTTTTATGCAAATTTAGTCATAAACCTTTTGCATTTGTGCCAATTTAGTCCTTGCAGCTAATAGCTATTCATGTGTCAAATGACTGAATTGGCACCAATCCAAAAGATTTAGGACTGAATTGACACCAATGCAAAATGTTTATGACTAAATTGACACACAAAAAAAAAGGTTTAGGACTAAATTGGCATTAATGCAAAAGGTTTAGGACTGAATTGGCACAAATGCAAAAGGTTTAGGACTGAATTGGCACCAAAAAAAGGTATAGGACTCAATTGGCACCAATGCAAAAGGTTTAAGACTTTTTTGATATTTTTCCCCATTTATTCCTTAATTTGTTTATTATTATTATTTTTTTTGTCCCCTTTTTACCATCATTTATTTTTATATTTTACAAAAAAGAGTGTATGCTCGGCTTGTCGGCAAAAATTAAGGTGTCAACAGTGGCACGATTAGATT